GTGCAGGATCAGAAAGGAGGGGTTTGGATGAATCAAAGTTTATACATAAAAAGAGATAAGAAAAAAAGTCGAAAGAACTGCGAATGCTGTAAATCAGGAACAAAAACAGAAGTTGCTGGAAAAGCTTAGCAGGCCTGGTAGCATCTGTGAAGAAAAAAAATCAGTTAATGATTAGGGTCCGGTGACCCTCCCTCAGAACTGATGGTAGCTGGGAAAATGTCAGTTTATATGCAGAAAATAGGGAGGGGGATGGAGAGTAAATGATAGGATAGAGCCCGAAGAGAGAGAAGAGCAGTTGGATAGGTGAAGGAGTTGATAACGATTTGGCTAGGAGGGTGGAGCATGTAGCCTTCTGCCCAAAACTGGCAAGCAGCTGACTAGCAGCATTTAAAGATGGGCCAGCAGTTTGCAGCTATCAGGCCTCTGGCAAATACTCCCAATGACCTAACTTCCAGGAGTTAAAATTAGGCTTATAAATTCCAGCTGTGCCTTACCATTTTTTAAAACAAGTCAAGTGAGCTTCTTTCCACTCCTCAGGAAAGACTGAAGAACCTAGCAAGTTTACAAAACTATTAATTAAAGCTTTATTAATCTTGGTACTCATCTAAAATCTGAAATTAAGATGCCTGGAACACTTGTCTGGGACAGGGTGCCTCTTGGACCTTGTGGATTCTTTGACCAGTAAACATAAAATTAACTACACAGGTATCTTTGAAGGTATCAGGGAAAGGACAACACAACATGAGCCAGCAGTAGGTGAACCAGGTTACAACTTTATTCGAAGACAACAAAGGTAAGAGTTAAACTTTTACAATTTTAATTTTAACAACTTTGGTAGAACTACTTGATTATTTAGAAACTTGAGTACTTCCCAGATACTCGTAGCTTTCACCAGTTCGTTGAATTCTTTGCTCCGCGTCTTTCTCCGGTCAAAAGGCAAGCTATCTTGGGGAAGGTTTACTTCAGTTGCTGTGCTTGTATTTCTCATTTTCCTTCTTAATGGTTTTTATTTTACTTGAGTAGTTGCAGGCTGCTACAAGTCTTAAAAACTGATTTATTTATAACCGTGTAAATACTCTTCTTCAATGCTATTTCTTTGCCCTCACATTCCCATTAAAGTGGAATAATTATTTTTCCAGACTTTGTTTTACTAAATAATAATTACTTTTGTGCTTAGCAATCCTTGTTTGCTTTTGTTAATTTTCTAGTTGCTTTTGCTTGTTGTTAACCCTACTGCCAACATTCTGCCTTCCATAAATCTTTCTGATAATCCCCACTACAATGCTTTTCATCACAAAACTTTAGCACGCAGGTACAACAAGTAATTAAGAAGGTCCAATAAAATACTGGCCTTTATACAAGATATATGGTTTAAAAACATAGGGAGGCATTGCTAAACTGTACAGTGCTTTGGTGGGATTACATCTAGATTGCTGCATATGACTTTAGTCTCCTTACTAAAGGAGAAATTTATGCATTGGACGTTCAGAGAAGGTTCACTAGGCTTACTCCTGGGATATAGGGGTTGTCTTATGAGGAAAGGTTAAGCTCATGCACATTGAAGTTCAGGAAAATATGAGAGATACTATTAAAATATACAAGATTATGAAGAGATGTCTCCCTTCATGGGAAATGTAGAAAAATGAAGCACAGTTTCAAAATAAGGAGCATCCATTTAAAATTTGTCTTCCAGGTTTGTTAATCTTTGGCATTCTCTGCCCCCTACGGTGGGGTGGGGTGCAGTGGAGACTGGGTCATTTAATGTGTTCAAGCCCAAGTTAAACAGCTTTTTGATCTGTTCAAGTCCTAAATGGTTAGAAATCAAGGCTTGATAGATAAGTGCAATGAATTAGGTCGAACACAAATAGGAACTAAAGATTCATTTAGGAGTTAACCACAGAAATTCCAATGCAACTCACAGAGAAAGAATATACCTAAAAATAGATATGGAGGCAACACACAAATACTAAGTAACTAAATTAGTGCTCAGCACAGACAACAAAAAGATGTAGACCACGTCTTAATCACCAAAAAGGAGGCCTGGAAAGATGCACAACCACATCACAACTGGACAGGATAGTAAATGTTAATTACAGGAGAAACGCTAGAACAATCCAATTGGTAAAAATGGCAAAGATCCATATCACATTAATACAATTTAGAACCAGGATTAGACAATGACAGAAATTAAACATTTTTACTTATAAACCTTTAACAAATGACTGAAAGATGAGAAAAACAGGAATATTAAGATACAAAAATGAAACATCTTTACTGACAAACGTTTAATGAAGGATTTTTAAAGACTGAAAGAACATGACAGAGATGAAAGGAGTGTAAACCATCACCACTAAATTGACTAGATGAAAGCTCAACTTCATATGAAGCTTCAGCAAATAATTCAGCAAACATGCTAAATGATGCAGTATTGCATGAGAGTGGGAGGAAACTATACACAGGGTTACACCAACATTTGCAAATTGTGAGGAGTCAAAGTAATTTTAAAAAGAACAAGACCCTTTTCCTGAAATTTCAGAAGTATGACAAATTTTCAGGTAAAATTTCCCAAAAGGTATTTCCTCCCAAAGGGAGAAGATATCTTAATTATTCAGGGCTTTAAGGTAAACTTGTTTAATGTTGATAAATATTCTATTAGATATTTTATTCTTAAATACCCTTAGGTGTCTTTATATAGTTTCAAAATAGTTCTAAAATAACATCTATTACATTTGGTATTGTATATTTTGATTGTCAATAAGGATATGGCTATGCTAAAAACAAAGTGTATTGTTTGTTAATTTCTGTTAATAAATTGAGTAAATAATCTTATGTTTTTCTATTACAATCTGAAATGAACTCTAATATCTTATAGTCTTCCTTATGTGGGCAAGCGTGTTTCCTCGAGAGAGAATCTTAGATCCTTAAAATATCTGGACATTATGGCATAGTTAAGGCCTTTTAATTTGAAACAGGCTCTTTGGGAGATGGTATTCTTGAGCAGCTTCTTCTCTTGTATGATGGTTATCTACATCTTACAAATGCAAATATTTGTAAATTGTTCAACTTGAACTCAGCAGACAGAACTCACCAGGAAAATACTCTGGTCCAGCTTTAGCTCTAATGGCAGCAATAAATCACTTCAAAGAATTACGGGGTCCAGTCAGGAAAGTGAAGGTAAAGCCATAAGAAACAAACAAAATGGGCTAAATCCCACTGTCATTTCTTTTGAACTCCTCTTAATCTTGCTGGCCTTTCCCATGAATCAATCAGGATGGCTTAATTGGAGAAATATCAGTTCAACACCATGATAATTTTTTTTAAACAATTAGCTTTTCTATGTTAACTCAATAATATATGCATAGATCATCACTGCAGACTATTCTGAGGGAGGTAGCATACAAATATGCCTGTGTTGGAGCACTTAAAGCTTGAATGCATCAACTCAACTAGTTACAACCCATTAAAGAGCATGATATACAAAACGTCTCATTCATACAGAACACATTAGATCATGTTCCAGTCAAACCAGTTTATTGTTTTTATAAGACAGACACAGAATATACACTGAATTGTAGCATCCTCCCCTTTACAAAAGTATAATGAATTACACTCAGTTTCTGCATTTTAGTTCCTTCAAATGGAATCAGTGTACACAGCTTCTCTCCGACCTCCGACAAGCTTCAAACTACAAAGTTTTGTTTGGTACTGAGAACATCTGAACAGCAAATCTTGGCATACACATTGTAAAAAAAAAAGTGTAAGTATCTTCTTAAGGTGAGCAATAAATTGACCATTTTATATTGATGGTTTGCAGAATTTAAATGGGAGTTATAAATAAATTCAGTTCTGTCCTAAGCCTTTCAGAGGTTAAATTCTATAATTCAATCTTGAAGATCACCCAGGATAGCAGCAAGGGCAACTACTAAACAAGAGATAGTTTAAAACAAAACTTCGTAAAAAGTGCAGTCTGGCAATGATCTACTGAAATCCTCCCTCTGTAAAATGACAGTCAAAGTCTGTAAACTAAACAGTAAAATTTCAACTTTCTGATCTTTGAGTGCAAGACAGCCATTAAATTCTACATTGCCAAGAGAAATTGAATATGAATTCTGATGGAATTAAGTTTAGAAGAAAAACAATACTCATCCAAATGAGTGCTGAAAGTATGAAGAGAAAAATACCTCAAGTCCTAGTTTCCTAATCTGCATGTCCCCGATAGGGAAGTACAAGGTAGAATTTAAGAGGAGAGGATGAACAAAATAAAAAGCAGGGAAGCCAACTGTTGGTGTTTAGTAACAGAGCAACAGTAGTGCAAGACTGGGAACAAGTAACTAATCTTCAAACTTAGGAAATTCAGTACAGTGCAACAAACTATTTAAAATCATAAAAAGTATTATATTTGGAGGTGGCCATCATAATTGATATTTATGCACGGATTTCAGGCTAAACAAACTGATAACTAATGTTGAATCAGAGATAGTAGGAACTGCAGATGCTGGAGAATCCGAGACAACAAGGTGCAGAACTGGATGAACACAGCAGGCCAAGCAGCATCGTAGGA